ACATGTGTGGACTCTCGGCCTTGCAGCCTGTCGATAAAGCGTTCGACTTCGACCTCTCCAAGCTCGACGACGCGCACGCCCTAAAGTATGCCATCCAAAAGTTCGAGCCTCTTTGCGTTCTTGTGAGCACCTTGTGGAATGTGTTCAATAAGAACCTTTAATTACAGCCACAAGCTGCGCTTCAGGACCTTCGTGACGAAGAACTTCCTGTGGTCGAAGCCGGCGCCTGGGCTTGCGAAGAACAGTGGTCGAATTTTCCTTAGTGGAAATCCCGTCAGGTCCCGCGTTTGGAGGTTGAATTACGTCAAGGAGATCCTCGACCACCCCGACGTCAACACAGTTGATGGCATGCCGGCGCGTATGGTGCGGAGAACTCCGAGCGCACGCCCATCATCAAGGCACACTGCTGGGTGAGAAACTCAGAAGGCGTGCTTGAAAATTTGGGCAAGCAACTCTCGGCAGAGCAGCAGGCGTCTTGTGCGCCCATACAAGGCAAGGTGACCAAGGCTTCCGGCTACTGCGACGGCTTCATCCATGCAATCCTCGATGGCTTGCTGAAGGAAGCGCGCCGCAGCAATCCTGTCAGGTTTGCCCACAAAGCAAATGAGGTGCGCTTCGCGTGACCAGTTCCGGACACCGAGGCCTGGAAGCACATCATGGATGAACTCGCGGCCCGCTTCTCAGACACCCATAAGAAGCCCTTTTGTGCTTTCGAAGGACAATCCCCCCCACAAGTCTGTTGAGCAGCTGATTCCATGGAAGATAACGCGGCTGCAGGCCACTTGGATACCCCAAGCACACGACCACCATCAAGGTTGCCAACAACCAGGTCAAATTGGCCTGTGGATGGGAGGAATGGACGCCAAGCTGGGCCAAGCTGAGAAGATATCGCCATGCTCAAGGATGCCGAGGCCAACATTCGACAGGGTCTTTGGGAAAAAGGTCGCGAGAAACCGCCAGGCGTTCTTGAAGAGGCAACCAGCGAACTTGCCGGGCATGTCCTAGATGCATCTGCTCCACGTCTATCTCGTCTAGCTGACTACAGTGGAGATTCGCCGACTACGAGGCCATCCGCATGCGCCTGCCCTGAGCATCCGATATTGTTAAGAAATCCATACAGGCAACTTATTGGAAATCAGCAAAACATTAAAAAACAAAACACAATACAAAACACAATACCAGAAAAATATGATTCAATGTATATGACCAAACCAGAATACCAAAAAAAAACAAAA